TTTTAAGATCCCAGTTGCTACTCACCAAAGTAGGAGGTGGAACAATGTTGTGTGTAGTATGTTACGCCAATTGAGCTTGATGTCCCCTGTGACTACTATGGTCCTGAGCCCACAGGTTCAACTACTCAGTTCCTCTGGGTAGCTGGCTGTGACCAAGAAGTAACTACAACCTTGTCCCTTGTCAGCTCTACTATACGCCTGGGAATTCAGATCATACAAATACACTTATAGGGCCATTTTCTGCCAACCCTATATATTGCCTTGCAGACCCAACCTGTTAACCTCAAATTCCAGTCAACATTTTTCCTACCCTTCCCAGCAGAGAGATGGCCTTGATACTGACACACTCTCCCTTTCTTTTCTCTCTTCCATCCCTCTCTCTTCATCTCCTTCTCACCCTTCTCCCTCATGTCTATTTTTCCCTCCTGTGTCCCCTCATTCTTTCCCCATGTCTCCCCACCCTCCTCTACTCTCTTGTATGTCTTCACCCCTCTCCAAATGTCTCCCTGATACTTCTTTCACCCCTTTCCCACAGTTCTCCACCTCCACTGGCCTCTGCAGGAGGCAGTCTCCAGTTCATTGGAGCCTCTCCTACCAGAGACCTGCATCTCATCTCTGAGCTGGTCTCCCAGCGAGCACACACAGGGGGCCTAGTGGCCTTGCTGAGTGGAGAGGAGAAGGCATCTGTGGAGCAGGGCCCAGGCTCCTTATATGGGGCTGCGCTTCAGGAGGTCTTTGGTGCCAGCTACAAGCTTTCGTGTGTCATGCTGGTGCTGACTGATGTATACGTGCTCTAAGAAGGTACAGCCTTTGCTTGGGATACCTGCGGCCCCAAGCACTGCTGCTGGCCCTGGGTGGAGGCATGGTGGAGCTGGCGGGCAGTCTGGAACTGCTGCGAGGGGAGGGGCAAAGGTGGCTTCTCCTACCCGTCTACCACCAGCCAGTGCCACGTACCTAAGGGGCAGCAGACCAGACCAATTGTGGTGGCTTGCTTGGTGACATATCTGCCAGGTACTGGTAGCGGGCACTGGAGGCTCTGAAGGATGTGATGTGAAGACCCAGGACTGAGGTCAGCCACCCTCCCCACTAGAGGCCCTTCTGCCCTGGAGCCCAGCAGGCACTCTGGGCTCAGTGCCAGCTCTCCAGGCTGTAGGAATGGGCTATTCTTACCTTCCTCTGTGCCCTCCCCCTTCTCATGACACAAAGGCTTGTCCTCTGGGATCTCCTTGGCTCCAGCACCATTCTCTCCCACTGCTTTATCAAGTTGCTGCCACCACTCTGCATTTGCCACTTTGCTCTCAGTCCCTTCCCTGGCCTTCCGCTAGGCAGGTCCCATTCTCCTGACCCTTCACCTCTGCTTCTCTCCCTGCCCACCTGGATGTTGCCACTTCTCCCTCACTCCTTAGTCCACAGTGATACACTACCTGCTACTACTCTGGAGAAGGCCTCCCTAGCCAATGGCCTGCTCTTGCTTCTCTTGACCTATCTACATTATTTCACACTTCTGACCACTTTCCCTTCCTCCTGTCATCTAATTCTTTTTCCTCTTAGCCTCCTAGAGAGAGGGAAAAAGCATAGGTTTTGCGGTGCCCAGAGATCTAGTTTCAAATTCTAGTAAGGCCCTTCTCAGACTCAGACTCTGAGCATGCCACCCCATATCCCTAGCCTCACTTTCCTCATTTCTAAAACAGAAAAAAATAATACTGACTTCACAGAGTTGGTCTTGAAGATTAAATGCACTAATGGATATAAGTGGCCAGCACAGAACCTGGCATAACACAGAAGTGTGACATTTCACGTTCCTTTCCCTCTCAGTCCCCTTACTAGCTACCAACCCCTACCCCCATGTTCTTTAATCATAAGGGTTCTCTGGCGATCTCTTTTTTCTCTTCCTTTGGTCCTCGCCCTCATGGCTTTAGATACCACTTATTTCTAGTCCAACTCCTCTCCCAAGCTACTTCAGGTGGGACACCTTCATTTATTTGGGTGGCCCTTCAGTGCCATCTATCCCCCCCAACCATGTGCCACTTGTCTTGGGTGACCACCTCCTCCTCCCTTGGGTGCTCAGACTTGGCAGCTCTGAGTCATGTGACTCTTCCCCCCCACACACACAGGTAAGCAATAACCCTGTCCTTTAATCCGCCCTCTGAAATGCCACTCATACTTCCCTCCTTTCCTTGGTTCTGGCCCTCATCGTCCCTCCCTTGGACCATGGCAGTGATATTCCAGCTGTCTCTCAAGCCATCTAACATTCACTCCTCCTCATTTCATTGTAGACCCAGTTCCAACATAGTCCCGCTCTGCTGCTCAACAACTTGCCACCACTCCCCATTGCCTTTAGAACATTGGTCAAATGACCCACCATGGCCTTCTAGGCTCATAACAGTCCTATTACCTAGACTCCTTTCTTCCTTCTTCTATTTTGTAAAGTATCCCAAAACACATTAGACGTGACATTTCAACTTTTAAGTATTTCAGTATGCATCTTTTAAAGAAATAGGGTAATTTTCCTACGTAACCATAATATTATCACAGCTAGCAATACTTTTCTAATGTCTAATTGCCTGTCCATATTCAGATTTCCCCAACAGTTACCAAAATGCCTTTCACAGACGGTTTGTTCAGACAAAGATCCAATCACGGGCCCAGCACTGGACTTGGTTGTTAGATTTCTAAGGTCACTTAATCTTGATGGGTCAGGCCCCCTTTCCATCCATCTTCTACCACATCCTTTCCCCAGCCCTGAGTCGGTCAACTCCAGCCCGCTGTGTGTGTGTTTTTAGACTACCCCTTTTTCACACTTGACCTTTCCCCTACCCCTTATTCTACAGAATCACCTTGGAGAACACTACCCACTTCTGTGAAACCTGCTCTTCCCCAGGCTGGAGGCACTGCTTGTTTTTCCCTGTGAGCTTGCCCAGCAGCCCCTGAGGCTTTGTCTGTGTTCAGAGCTAGGGCTTGGTTCTGCATGCTGCCTGGGGGCAGGGTCACTGTCTTCCTCTTTTTTCTGTCCCTGGGTGCCTAGCACATGCCTGTCATCTAGTTAACAGTACAATAAAGAACTTGAATATTCCTTTCCTCAGCATCCCAGCTCCTCTTCCACAGCCCGGTCTACTATGACAATGGCGAGTAAGGTCCAGAATGGTTTTGATGTGTCTTGCTGGAAAGACTGTGATCCCAGAAACTGTTCACAAACCCAGTCCAGATCTCCTTCCTTTTGCTCTTACAGTTTCTTTCCTTCTTTGTGTACACACACACACACACACACACACCCCAAGACCCCAAAACTCAGGAAGTGGTTCTTGAGGCAAGACCTAAGAACAAAGGGGTGGGGCCCAGGCTGTGGGAGTGAGGATGTGATGGTAGGTCTGCCCCTTTGGCCTTTTCACACCACCTTTTTCAGGGGATTACTGGCAGTGACACGCCCCCCACTTCCCTTTCCAGCCTTCATCTAACTTTATGTTCTGGGATAAGAAGGGCTGTCTGCTAGGATGGATGGGGGAATTTAAGGAATATATGCCCTGCCCGTGCTACTGTCCTCCCTTTACCTCGCCCCCCACAACAGGCTGATCCAGGAGTCACTCTTCCAGATCCAGACCTTGCCATCCCAGAGGGAGAGAAGGACTCTGACCTGCCGTGACTGACTGGTGGGGTGGCCCTGGAGAAGGGCTCCCTCCCTCTTCAGCTCACTGTGCAGGAAAATGGAGAAGCTGTGCGAACAGGAACCCCTACTCTGGAATGTTGAGGGACTCCAGGATGGAAGGCCAGGGACTTTCTGCAAGTGTTTATCTGGCCCCACCCTACCCCTAGCAGTCCACAGCTTCCACTCACGATGGGCCTGGGGGTTTAACCAGAGATGGAGCCAGAGGAGGGAGTGGAGATGAGGAGGCCTCCTGCAGTCCATTTTGTCTTCCACTCTCAGCTCTGCCACTCGGGCCTCGGAGCGTAACTCTGAAGCGCCCATCCCTCTTTTGGCTTTCACTTGCTTCCTCCGCTGCTCCGAACCAGAGAAAACCAAGCGGCGCTCTGTTTCGCGCTCCGATCCCGAGCTGACACGGGGGTGGGGGCGCCAGAGGGCCCCAGGATCTCTGAAGTTCTGCCCCGGACGCTCCCGTGTGCGGAGGTGGGCGCTGTCTGCTGGGTGGGGGCCACGTGGATCTGGCTCGGCGGGGAGCTCGGCCCTCCCCTTGCAGGCCCGGGTGACTCAGGCCGCAGCTGTTCCCGCGTCACATGAGGCAGGCGGGAGGCCACCGGGCGGGGGAGGCGGCGGCGGAGGGGGCTGTGGCTGGAGCTGGAGCCGGAGCGGAGCCCGGGGCGGGGCCGCGGCACAGGCGGGGCCGGAGCCGGGGGCCGCTGCAGAGAGCCCCTGAGCTGCGGCGGGAGAGGAGCGCACAGCTTTGGGGAACCCAGGTGAGGCCGACGGGTCCCCGGCGGACCTCGGCGTGGCGTAAGGGAGGCCACCGGCAGCTCCCTCCTCCCCGGGCTCAGCCTGCGCTCGGCTGCTTCCTGGGCCCACCAGCAACTTTGCTTCCAAGTTCCCGAGGCCGGGCGGGGGCGGTGCCAGCCGAACTTTTCACTTGGGCTTGGGGAGGGGGTGTCCAAGCCTAGCGGAAAGTGGCGGGGAAGGGAATCAGGCTCTGCCGAGGACCGTTTTACGGCGCTGGGTGGGCGAGAAGGGGCGCTGAACGCCTTGGGCCGGCAGTCAGCGCCTGCCTGGATCCCCAGCCGGCGCCCTCGGTTTTGCCCAGGCTCTGGAGGCGGCGAGGTGGAGTCCTGGCTTGGCGGCGGCCGCCCCCTCCCCTCTGGCCTCAGAGAATGGGGGGCTGGGAGACGTGGATCTGACCGCAGGTTTCCGGGTGGGAGGGGCCGGGATTGGGGGCCAGGCTGGGAAGGCCTCAGGGGCGGGCTGGAAGCCCGGAAACCAAAGGCCCCTTCGGCCGCTTCTGATCCACACACGCCCCCCCCCCTTGCGCCCTCCCTCTGTCTCAGGCCCAGCAGTCATGGCGGTGGAAGGAGGGATGAAATGTATCAAGTTCTTGCTCTACGTTTTTCTGCTGGCCTTTTGCGTGAGTGGAGCGAGGTGGGGGCGGAGGTGGGCTTTGGGGGAGTGCTAGCAGGGTGCGGGGAGACCTGGCTCTGGAGTGGTGAGGGTGAGCGGCCAAGAATGAAGGCAGCTGGAGACCAGATGTGGTAGAACAGCTCTGGGAACTCCCCGAAGACAGTGTTGTCACCCCTTCCTCCAGCTTTTGGGGGCCGAGAATGGCCAGCCTGGGTGCACAGCACCCTCCCCCGAATTTCTCCTGGCCCTTCCTGTCCGGTGACCTAGCCATTTGTGATATCAGGCAGTGGGGCAACCAGCCAACGGTGGCGTGATGGTATCACTTGTGCCTGATGCTATCGCCTGGGGCTTCCCTCTGCTCAGCCCCCTCTCATGCTAGTCCCTTTCCCACCATCCCCTTTCACCCTTCTTGGCTGCTTGGGGGTGGGAGGATTCTGCCCACCTCAACTTGAACCTGCCTTGAGAGGCTGCTGTTTGTTCTGGGAGGGGCACACCACTTTGCTCTCCTTTGCTCCTCTCAGCCACAGCTTATGGGTGTGGGGTGGGCCCTGGAAGATAGTGAGGTGCAGTTCTGGGAGACGACCAAGTTAAGAGCCCTGAAGGAAGGTAGACGCACCCACTTTTGATCAGGAATGTGTGTCCTGGGGCTTTCTGGGCACTTCTTTTTTGCAATCTGTGGTAGAAGAGCTGTTTGAAGGAAGTGTGGTTCCTGACTGACTCCCTGCTCCTAGAGTGCTTTGAACAACTTCTCAGCCTTCACTGTGGGGGAGGATGGGCCACCCTTCCCCCACAGTCAAAAGTTTCTGGGTTGTGTAAGGTCAAGTCTGTGTCTTGGATGTACGTTCTGCCCACCACTCTGGAGGGCTGCTGGGGTGTGGGTCTGGCCTAACCCTGACATACCCCTCTTCTCAGGCCTGTGCAGTGGGACTAATCGCTGTGGGTGTGGGAGCCCACCTTGTCCTGAGTCAGACTGTTAACCAAGGGGCCACCCCGGGCTCCCTGTTGCCTGTGGTCATCATTGCAGTGGGTATCTTCCTCTTCCTGGTGGCCCTTGTGGGCTGCTGTGGGGCCTGCAAGGAGAACTACTATCTTATGATAATGGTGAGTGGGGCGTGGGGCCAGCATGGGTACCTGGGACTGCTAGAGGGGCATGTCTTTGGAGGGGGCTGAAGAGGGTGGATGAGGTGGAAAAAACATTTCAAGTGTTCCAGGGACTAGGCAGGCAACTCACTCATTGAGTCCAAGCCTGAGTCCTGTCCCTTGTGTTTGCAGTTTGTCATCTTTCTGTCTCTCATTATGCTGGTGGAGGTGGCCACAGCCATTGCTGGCTATGTGCTTAGAGACAAGGTAAGCAGGCGGTAAGGAGAGGGACTTGCCTTAGCGGTGCCTTGCATTCTGACCTCAACAATGCTCCTCTGCACATCAGGTGACGTCGGGGTTTAAGGAGTATTTCCAGCAGCAGATGCAGAATTACCCAAAAGACAACCAAACGGCTAAGTTCCTGGACAAGTTGCAGCAAGAGGTGAGTGGGGTTGTTAGGAGCAGGGATAGTGGGGGAGGTGAGAGGATTTTCACCTCCACCCTGAAGGTTGAGGTTCACTTAACAACTTCTTCCCCGTATCTCTTCCTTGTGCCAGTTTAAGTGCTGTGGGGCTGCTAACTACACAGACTGGGCAAACGTTCCCCTCCTGCCCAAGGGCCGAGTTCCTGACTCTTGCTGTGTCAATGTCACTCAAAGCTGTGGGATTGATTTTAAAGTGGAGAACATCAATGACAAGGTAGGGAGGAGGCTGAAATAATAGGGACTTGGGGAACCTGGGAAGTGTGTCAGGAGGTGAGAGGTCAGGATGGAGGTAGACAGGGTTGAGGCTCTGGGGAATTGGTGGCAGAGATGGGGAGGGGATCTGGAATGCTAGAGATGTGGAGAAAGGAACAGAGGGTGAAGAGACAGATGGACCAGGGGAGGTAGGTGGGAGATTTCTGATGGTGCTTTTGCCTGTGTGCCTGCTGCTCTTCAGGGCTGTGTGGAGAACATTGGTGGCTGGCTGAGGAGAAATGTGCTGGTGGTAGCTGCAGCAGCCCTGGGCATTGCTTTTGTGGAGGTAAGTGGAGACCTGGGCAGGGGCTGGGATTGCATCCAGGGCCAATGGGGAGGAGGGTGCTGAGGTGGTGGTACTGGCCTGGGGAGGGCCCTAGGTGTGTTTAAAGTCCCCTGGGTAGGTCTGGGGTATTTTGCCTTTCTGATCCCTCTTCCATCTTTCCTTCTAGGTCCTAGGAATTGTCTTTGCTGTCTGCCTCGTGAAGAGTATCCGAAGTGGCTACGAGGTGATGTAGGGGGTCTGGTTCCCTCAGCCCCCACATCTAGGGGAGTGGGGTAGTGTACCCCAGGTTTTCCAATTAAACGGATTATTTTTTCAGACCAAAAAGATAGTTTGTCTTAAAGAGTGATACTTGACCCCTTTCCTCCCCTCATCCATGTTCCCTGTCCTCTGGGACCTTGTTCTCTTTGCATCTCTGGGAAAAAGCAGGCCTATTTTTCAGGTGTTTGGGAAAGGAAGATACTTGCTGAAGGCATTGGATGGACTGGAAGTGGAAGAGGGGACCCAGAGGAGGCTGTGGCCCAGTGTCCTCCCTGTCCACCTAGTCTTGTGCTATCAGACTCAGTGCTGAAAGTCATAAAGTCATCTCCTGCATAAGTCAAAGGGATTGTCCTACCTAGGAGAGCCCAACCCCCATCTCCGTTAGCTATCTTTTCCCTGGCCTCCGCCTACCCCTGAGAGCTCAGCAGCCCCGTCCCCCAGCAATACTCAAGGGGGCCTGGCTCCTTGTAGAGTGGTTAAGTATCCTTGATACCTGTGTGGCCAGCGTCCATCCTTCTTGACTAAGACTGTGATAAACCCACTGCCACCCAGTTGATTCTGACTCATAGCAACCCCCAGTGTGTTTCCAAGGTGGTAAATCTTTACAGAAGTAGATTGCCTTGTCTTCCGGTGAGTGGCTGGTTGGTTTGAACTGCCAACCTGGTTAGCAGTCAAATGCCTGGACTGTGATAATGGGAGAAAATAAGAGGGTGTTTCCTTTTCTTCCATGAAAGCTACCCAGCTTGGTCCTGAGCCCTCTTTAACCTCCTCCCTCCCAATCTCCTACTCCCCTCCTACTCAGAAGTGAAAAAGATATAAGCCCTTCCCACTACAAACACTGAATTGCAACCTTATTAAAGTAGGAAATAAAGGAAACATCTGAAAGTGCCCTCTGGTGGCTACTCAGCAGCTTCAAAGGAGGTCTCTAGATGCAAACAGTCCTCTAGAGCCCCCCAGTGGGTGCTAGTTGTTTTGCAGACGAAATAGGCTGGAGGCCCTGAGCAAGTCAGGTTAGGGTAGACAGCAGCAGTTAAATGGCGTCAGTCTTTCATTCTGCCCACTTACGGTTTTTTTTTTTTTTTTTTTTTTTAAAACAATACACATTTATCAAGTGCCTACTTTGTGCCAGGCACCAGGCAGTTCCAGGACAAAGGCAGAAATAATCTGGATGGAGTTCTGGTTCATGCAGAGTAATCGCTTGCTGGAAGGCTACGTTCGGTAGACAGCCTGGGCAGGCTTGGGAAGGACCCAGGTGAGCACAGCATCCACCAGGCTGGCTGGCAGGTAGGAGGCCGGCAGCCAGAGCAGCTTGGCGTCCCAGCCTGGACTGTAGCGTGTTCGAGGGTGACGGGCAGTCAGGGCATGCTCCAGGCAACTGCTCACCTTCGTCAGGTCCGGGTCACAGAGGAGGTTCATGATACGTTGCTGCACTTTCAGGTCTGCAGCCCAGTGGGTGGTTGAGATCAGTGTCTCTGCCTGACAGCCCATCTCAGATCCTACCTTCTGGGTGCTGCCTAGTGGAGGTGAGAGGGCTTCTCCATCCCCCCTCCCTGCTGGGTGCTTCACTTGGCATCCCATTCACCTTTTTCCCCCTTGCCTGCCCTACCCTTTCATTCTAGCAGGCTGGTGTGGGGTGGCCTTCCTAGCATTCTCACTTGCCTTCATATGCTCCTATTCGGGCCAGCTACTCACATTTAGTGAGGAAGGCCTCTCCATACTGGGCCTTTGTGGCAGAAGGTAACCGGTCCCAGCAGGCCTGCAGGGTGTCCTCCAAACTCTCCAGGTTGGTCACAGGTGTTCGGAAGAAGCCAGGCTCCACGATGGAGACCCTTACACCAAAAGGAGCCATATCCCGCCTGGAGGGGGTACAGAGGGAGGTTCTGTGTTCTTGTCCTATGGAGAAGGGAAGCTAAGATGGGCCCTGACAGTGAGGGAGGTCCCTCCTTCCTATGCTGGGACTAGGGGCAAGTAGGACAGAGGAAGAGAGGTATTTTTTGAGGCTTGTTTTCCTTTATATTTTCTTTTATGATCTAGAACAAGAATCAGCAACTTTTCTTAAAGGGCCAGATAGTAAACATTGTAGGCACTGAAGGCTAAGAGACAATATTGAGGTTATTAGGTAGTACTATAACAATTTACAATGTAACCATTATGACATAATCATTTACGATATAACCATTTTAAAACAAAAACTATTCTTAGCTTGTGGGCTGGCTGGATCTGGCCATGAGTCATAGTTTGCTAACTCCCAGTTTAGAGGAACCACGTGTCCTGACTTCCCAAACATAGCTGAGTTCTGGGTGCCGGATGTGAAGAGTGTAGACTGGTACTTGCTGGGGGTAATCTGATGGGGAAAGAGGAGAGGCATCCCCCTGTGCTGGCACAGATGCAACACCCAAGTATAAAATACATGTTCTATGATGCCGACAGGAAAAGACTCAGGGATAAGAACAAAAGTAGCACTGAAATTCTTTGCTGAGTGATGGTGTTGGAAGTATACTTCCTTAAGAAGTGTCATCCTCTGTGGTACCTTCAATGATGCCTGCAAGGATCTCTCTTGTGCCCCATGAGACTTTCTTTTTTTTAAAATTTTATTTTATGAACATTATATTTTAATGGAGAGGGGCAGAAAAACATAATGACCAGGTTCTGTAGGCAGGCAGACCTGGGTGTAAGTCTAGTGCTTCGACTCATTAGTTGTATGGCCTTGGGTAAGTTATGTTACAGAAGGGCATTCATAAGGAGCCCTAGTGGTGCAATGATTAAGTGCTTGGCTAATTGCAAGGTTGGTAGTTCGAACCCATCAGCTGCTCTGCAGGAGAGAGATGAAGCAATCTGCTTCTGTAAAGATTACAACCTTGGAAATCCTTTGGGGCAGTTCTACTCTGTCCTATAGGGTAGGTATGAATTGGAATTGATGGCAATAGGTTTGGTCTGGAGAGTATTAATAATCTTCCCATATAGGATAGCTGGGAGACTTAAATGAATTTAAAGCCACTAGTTCATCAAAAAGGAGCTCTGGTAGCATAATGCCTAAAGCATTTGACTGCTAACCAGAAGGTTGGTGATTCAAACCTACCAGCCACTCTGCAGAAGGAAGACTGGGCAATCTATTTCTGTTAAGATTTACTGCCTGGGAAACCCAGTGGGGGTTGCTATGATGGCTCAATGGCAGTGAGTTTTTGAGTCAGCTCACTGCAAGTAATTGTTACTAGTTTGTCTCTCAAGTATTAATAATAAACTTTTGTGATTATTTACTATGTCCCGGGCCTTACACATTCTCATTTAACTCACAATACCCATGAGACAGGAGCTCTGGTGGCGTAGTGCTTAAGGCATTTGACTGCTAACCAGAAGGCTGGCGGTTCAAACCCACCAGCCATTCCTCGGAAGGAAGACTGGGCAATCTACTTCCATAGAGATAACACTTTGGAAACCCAAGGAGGGGTTGCTATGAGTCGGACTTGACTTTACTCGATGACAGTGAGTCTGGCTTGGAGTTTTGGACACCCGAGACAGGTCTTCTCATCACTATTTTACACACCAAAAGAAACGGAGAAAGAAAAGTAACTTGCCTAAGGTCACAAAGTTCTCATGAAAGAAAGTTGAGGTTTGAACCCATGAAGTCTAGCCCTAAATTGTTTCCTTGTAAGCATGACACTCTTGTGTTTCAGTCTCTGCTGGCCCACACTGAGCAGACACTAATTGTTGAGTGGGTTGCCCTTCGGCTTGGATCCCGAATCCCAGAGCCCTGCGCCCCTCACCTCAGGCTGTCAGAGAAAGCCTCCAGGCCAAACTTGGAGACACAGTAGCCACCACCATTGGCTGCCAGGCGACCCAGGACACTGGTGATGTTGACTACTCGGCCATGGGCCTGTTGCAACAGGGGCAGCAGGGCAAGGGTGACCCCAATAGGACCCAGGGTGTTCACATTCAGCACCCGGTGGAAATCATCCCTTGTCAGCCACGGTGTGGGCCCGATGATACCAGCCACACCAGCATTATTCACCAGACCAAAAAGACCTGTGGGGAGACAAGATTAACACGGGGCAGGTGAGGCATTCCAATGGCCTGTCTCCTTATTGGGAGGATCTGAGTCCTGTTTCAGCCCCAACTAGTATCTCTAGCTTTCCATAGCCCTTGCAATTGACTCTCCTAGGGCCACTCTAGGGATCAGGTGCACCTGCACCATGTTTCTGGTGGCCCGTCCCACTCACCTGCTTCCCCAACCTGTGTCTCCACCCACTTGGCTGCCCATTGGACACTCTGGGGATCAGTGACATCCAGCAGGACAGTGTGGAGCCGGGAGGAGGCCACCTGTTGTAGGTCCTCAGCCCCTGAGGGGGTCAGACAGCTGGCAAGGACGCGGAAGCCCTGCTGGTCCAGTCGTAGTGCTAGAAGCCGCCCGAAGCCTGAGTCACAGCCGGTGATGAAGACAAAGGCATCACTGGGGGGCAGGTTCTGCCGGTCCCGGAGCAACCACAGCAGTCCCCAGAGCAGGGCACCCAGGAGCAGAGGAAGCCACATGCTGGAACCCAAGTGACCTGCAGGTGGCAGCCTAGGCTGGCCAGGAAAACGTGCCCAGTTTACACTGGCCCTCAAGCCCTTGACCTTAGTATCCTCCCTAGCTGGAGTCTCGCATCTGAGTCAACTGAGAAATTATTTTAGGGTAGGGGGAGAGGGAAGCAGAGATGCGGGTAGACCCCATATGCGTAACTAAAAGTCAGTCAAGCTGGGTCCTGCGTGCGTACTGCTGTATGAGAACAAAGGGACCTTTCCATTTGCCGTTACTTCTCTCCCATGAAACCTGGGACATGTGAACCCTCTAAGTGTAACCTGGGCCTTGCTTTTGGAACTAGGTACAGGGCCAAAAGCCTTGCATTTCAGTCTCAGTGGCCCCAAACTTACTGTGTGGTGCTGGGCATCTCACTGTCTCTGAACCTGTTTTCTCAGTTACAAAGTGGGGCTATCACCCACCACGCTCAGTTGTGGAGGATCAAAGGAGAGAATGTGTGAGACAGCACCTTCAATGCTCAAAGTTTTGAGTTATCACTACATGTAGTTTGTTGCTAGTCTTCTCATAGCACCCCCAGCTCCCAGTACCCTGCTTACCTGTTTTTCAGGAAGCTGTCGGGTGCTTCAAGTGCTTGCAGTTTCTTCTTCTAACACTTTGCTTCTAGTCTTCCGAGGTTCCCACGTTAGCCACCACTAGGGCCAAAGTCCGGAGGGGGTGGACTGGTGGACTCCAGTGCCAGGAGTATTAAGTGTGTGTGTGGTGGGGAGAGGGAGGGGCTGAGGAGGAGGAGGAGACAGGGAGGCTAGAGCCAGGCTGGCTGAAGTCAATGCTTGGCACAGGCCAGGCCTGCCCAGGCCCCTTCTTGGCTGTCTTTCTCAGCCTGGGCTCCTGACCACCTATGTCATGGCTTCCCGGGAGGAAGGTGCTGTCAGGGATGGCAGCTGTCCCTCTCTGTTGGTGGTCTTGGACTTGTCATGCCCAAGAGTTAATCTCCCAACTCGCCCAGACTCATGACACTACTTAGTACCAGCCTGGGAGAGGCCATGAGCTTGTGGAGAGGCAGGGAGCCAGATCTGGGGACCTGGTCTATCCCCTGTCTCGTTTCTCTACAGCAGGAAACTGAAGTTCTGAATTAGGAAACTTGGAGCAGCAGCCACTAGGACCTTTTCTTCAGAGGTGTGGAAAACTCCCACACTCTACTTACCTGACAGGCATTTGTACCAGACTCCAGGTTGAATAGAGTTGGGACAGTAAGAGGAAGCTGCTTCTACCTTCTACCCAAAGGTCCCCTTGGAAAACCACCTCTGAATCTTTCAGTCTGCACCCCCCCACCCCTGCAGTGAGCTAGTAGGCCCTTAAAACATACAACATAGTAATGGAGGCTTGTGTTTTATTCATGGTCCTGTCAGCTTCCCTCCAGCCCCCTAAGGCTGAGGTAGGAGAGGTGGGGTAAAGAAAGGGAAGGGGGGTTAGGAGGAGGCAGACTGCAGCTGCCCTTTGTAGACATATTCCAGGGCGGTGGCAATGGTGCGCATGTCCAGCTCGATGCTCCGAGCCCAGTTTTCCACATCCCCGATTTCCTGGGGAAGGGGAGAAGGGGCGGGAGCCCAGGCATCAGGGGGTTAGTACCTGGGGACACTTGCCATCCATTCCCTGGAAAGGACTTTGCTTGGACCCACCAGCTGCTTTTACTCTTGCTCTTGCTTCTCTGCTGGTGGGGCCGTAGAGTTTCTGGAACCACCCCCCTTCCTCTCTAACCCCTAAGCCAGAGGTGACTTGACTGGAAACAGCTGATGGGGGTCTGGGATGGGGGGATGAAAGGGTAGGGTGTGGCCCACCTTGAGTGCCTGATTGAAGTTCTCCACCATCCCGATCCACTGGCCCGTTTGCTTGGCAAACTGGGCGGCCTGGACCTGTAAGGTCTTCACCTCATGGTCCAGCTTCCTCTGGTTCATGTAGGCTTGGGCCACACTAGTGGGTGGAGAAGGGAGAAGGTTAGCTCATTCAACTAGTAAGGGGTGGTCTCTAGTACTAATAAATATTCCACTGTAGGGTGGGATGCCAGCCAGGATGCAGGGCTGAGGAAAAACCTCAGGATTCTGGCCCTTCTTAGATGTGATGCAAACCGCTACTAGTACATGCAAATGAACCGAGCTCCTTCCCTACCCAGGATTCCCAGGAGAGTTGAACTGGGAGCTGACTAGAAACATACCATCTCCTATCTCCCAAAGGAATTCCTGCCCCTGAGAGGGGGGAGAAAGGGTTAACCTGGGGGAATATCCTTGAGGAAGGAGCTGGGAGGGAGAAGGGAGCTGGGAAAATCCAGCAGCAGGGACGCATCTGGCAGCTATTGGAAGCCCAGGGATCTGTGCAAGAAGAGGACTTGGCCGAGCTAAGAAGGGAAACTGGGCCCCTCCCTGAGTCAGGGATGAGCTGGGAAAACATCCCTCCTCCCCAGGAACCCTGGGTCGGGAGAGGGTATCCCAGGGGTGCTTCTTGGCTGTCAGTCTCTTTCCCAACTCTTCTCCTTTCATCCACATAGCAAAAACGAACACACACACATTCCCTCCCTTCTGCTCTAAGCAATAACAGTGTTTTGTTTTCTCTTCAATCAAGGTGGTGGCTGCAGTTACCATTGCTGCCATGGGAAGGGGGTCTGCAACCCCCCCCATAATTGTTCCCCTTTGATTAGCTGATGAATCTTTTACTCTCCTCCCCAAAGCTCTAGGTCAGCCAGAGACTCCACATCCGGTGCCCTCCCCACTGGAATCTGTGGGGGCTCAAGGGCGCAAGGGGTTAGAGAAGTCAAGAGAGTGGGCAGGACACCTGACTGAGCCTTTGTTCTCCTTTCCGGGGAATGAGAGGAGCTGTGGGCAGCAACACAAAACCCTTTCTAATTTGGCTTTGGCTTAGCTGCCCTCTGAGTTGAAAGTGGGGTGGCCCCTAGCAAAGAGAGAGGCGGAGAAGCCAAGGCTACACTCACAAGTGGCGGGTACTGCAATGTGGGATGAAGGAAAGGGGCAGACCTTGCCCCTTCTCTCTGGGAGACAGCTGGACCACAGTAGGGGTTAGGGTGGGAGCCAAAACAGTAATCTTCAACAGATTCCCCAGGGAGTTTCTGAAATCCAAGTTTCCCCCATTATTCACACTGAATGGAGGGAGAGGCCTGGTGATAAGGGAGATCAGAGGCCCCAGTCAAAGCCTTCTCTGCCCCTGTCTCCCCACAGATGAGTAATGAAGATGACCTGAGCCCCTGTATGGCTCACTGGGATGACTCAGTCTCTGCAACCACAACCAAGCTGTTCTCTGTGCCCTGGGGTGGAAGGCACCATACTGCCGCCTTTCTTCCAACGGCACATCAAATCATCAGCTCTGCACTCTTTAGGGTCACTCAGGGTCAAAAATAACGATCTTTGCTCCTTCCCAACTTTTTGACTGTTACTCGAATTCTCATTAGGGCTGGGGTAAGGGGTGGCCTCTGGAGACCCAATAGGAAGGGAAGAGACAGCTTGGCTCTGCCTTAGTTCCTGGCATAGGTTCTCCCCTCACTCCCACCAGCTGTGCCATCTCTTTCCTGCCAGCTGCTGCCCAGGCCTGCCAGAGGGTGGGAAGTGGAGAAGGAGAGGGTGGTGAGATGTGGTGAAGGAGGGTGCTTTCCCTCCTGCTGAAGTGACAGCTGGACTTGGAGGGGTAAAGGGAGGTGAGCAGATGGCATCAAGTTGTAGGCACCAGGGAAGCTGATGTGGGGAGGGGGACAGTCTGGTTGCTTCTCCAACCACTGCAGCTGCTCCTCCCCTGCCCAATACTAGTAACTGGAGCCAACTCAGGCCTCTCTCCATAAAACTAAGCTGAAAGATAGGGGTCTGAGTAGAATAACCCACCTTCTCAGGAGCAATCTGAGGGCCTGGCCTTGCCAGTGTCTAAACTTGGGGGGTTGGTGTTGAGGGGAAGAGGTTCATACCCCACATTGAGGTGATCCACCAAAGCTTCTGTCAGACAGGTTGCTGCAGTGATAGCCTCTCGCCTCCTCTTCTCTGGGGGGAGGGGAGAAAAGGGATTGGAGTGAAGACTTGGATTTCTGAGGAGTGATACTGAAGTTTCCTTACCCATTCATTACTGTTCTGCTAGTTGCTGGAAAGGAGCTCTGGTGGTGTAGTGCCTAAGGCACTTGACTGCTAACCAGAAGGCTGACAGTTCAAATCCACCAGCCACTCCTTGGAAGGAAGATGGAGCAATCTACTTCCGTGTTGATATCACCTCGGAAACACAAGGAGGGGTCACTATGAGTCGGATCCGACATGATGGCAGTAAATTTTTTTTTTTTAAGTTGGTGGAGCACCTCAAATCTCAAATGTCAGAGATGAAAAGGGCTTTGTGAAACATAAAGCAAGCTCTTAGAAACCTGTACACCAATGTTCACTGCAGCACTTTTTAGAAAAGGCAGAAACAACCCGAATATCCATCAACAGATGAATGGATAAACAGAATGTGGTACATACACACAATAGAATGTTAATGTTAGGTTGTTGTTAGATGCTGTTGAGTTAGCTCTGAACCTGAGTGACCTTATGTACAATAGAATGGAACACCGCTGGGTCCTGCGCTGTCCTCCCAATTGTTGCTATGCCTAAGGCCACCATTGTCACCACTGTGTCAATCCATCTTGTTGAAGGTCTTCTTAGTAAAAAAACTAACCCTCTACTATGACATCCTTTTCCAGGGACTGGTCCTTCCTGAGAACATGACCAAAGTATGAGGCAAAGTCTTGCCATCTTTGCTTCTAAGGACATGCTGGCTCTACTTCATTCAAGACAGGTATTTGTTTTCCTAGTACATTCAATATCCTTCATCAACACCGTAATTCAAATGCAATGATTTATCTTTGGTCTTCCTTATTCATTGTTCAGCTTTTGCATGGGTATAAGGCGACTGGAAATACTATGGTCAGGCACATTGTAGTCTTCAAAGTGGTATTTTTGCTCTTTAACACTTTAGAAAGGTCCTTTGCAGCAGATTTGCCCAAAGCAATGCGTCATTTGATTTCTTGATTGC